CATGACATAGACGCCGGCCGCCGGCTCATCCGCATTGCGGTTCTTCTTGGACAAAAGGCCTGTGGAGAAGGCGACAGGCGCTGGCGGTGCAACTTTGAATGGAGTGTCGAACGACTCATGTGCAGATTGCTCATACTCGGTTTCAAAGGGCCGGCCTATACCGATTGGTAGGGAGCGAGAGAAATGAGGGTTGCTTGACAGGGGAGGTGCAGGAAACACGGAGTTGTTCCACTGCACGGCGGGGGCTCGGGGAGGAGCCATTGGTGTGCCGCTGATGCTTGATGAAGCAGAGTGCGGTGTATGTGCGTGTGACAAGGGGTGCGGAAACGATGCTCCACCCCGGGGAAAAGGTGTGGGCAAGCCCATGCGCCCAGCATCAAAGGTGGATTTTCGGAATGGTGTTTGAGCTGACTGGGCGGGTGTCTGTGTTGAGTTGTTTATTGAGCCATCGAAAGAAATGCGATTGCGAGTCTTGGAAGCAGCCGGGCCAGGGAAGGCGAATTCGCCCTCGTAACTTGGCTTGCGCGGGGTGTTTGAACGCTGTGATAGAGTTGACTTGCGCAGTGACGTTGTGCGGTGGATAGGCGATTGCGCGCCCAATGCAGGTGAGCTGTTGAAGGAGAATTCGTTGGTCACGTCACGCTGGCGGGGCGCATCATCCGGGGAAGCGCGCTGTGCGGGAGATGGGTCAAAGATGCTCTCAAAGTCGTTTCCAAGACTCGAGACGGCGTGAAGACTGCGGCGCTTTGCAATGGGGCTGGATCCGGGGGATCCGCTAAGGTTCATGAGTCCATCATTGCGCTTCAGCGGGCTCGACTTTGCAGGCGCTGCTGCTGGTGGCGACAGCTCTGAACGGCGCGCAAACTCGAATTTGATGGGCTTGTCGTCGACTTCTAGTCGCTTGTCCATGTCCATGCTGCTTGGGGATTCTGAGCTGAGGCGTCGCACGGGCGTGTTCTCCTGGCCAATGGTGGGCCACGTCATAAAGGGAGTCGCGTTGCCGTCAGTCGTCTCGGCCAAGGCGCGTCGTCGCGGGCTCTTGGACTTGCTGTTGCGAGTGCGCGGAGACGAGCGGAGGGGTCCTGAGCGGCGCAGCGAAAACTTCTTCTTTGCTGGAACGGCCTGCGCTAGCGGTGATTCTGGAAAAGCTGCAATGGGGCTCGTGGGCTTGTTGGAGGCCTTTGGCGAGAATGCGCGCGCGATGGCGAGCGGGGAGATGGGAGAGCGGGGCGTGTCCGAGTTGCGCAGCTGAAAGCGCGATTGCTTGGAGGGTGAGCGGGAGAGAGAGCGGCGCAGTTCCTGGAGGTGGGAGAAGTGGGTACCGTCAAGGCGATAGCTGTGGGGGTGAGTAGGAGAAGGAAAGTGCATGGTGCCACCCTCTCGGCTGGGGGAGAAGCCAAAATCCATGGTACGCGCAGCGGGGTGATGGTGGTGGTGGTGGTGGTGCTGACGTTGCGAGGGAGCGGGGGATGGCGTCGCGGGCGAGGGTGGTGGATGGCGGGTCCGGGTGTTTTTGTTGTTGTTGTGGTTGCCTCAGGGTGACTGATTGAGTCGTGTCTAGGCAGTCGCGACGCACATGAGGAGAGAGAGCTAGTCTTCAGTCGATGGCTGGAAGGCTGGCGGGTTTTGCAGGCGGGCGCGCGCGGTGGAATGGATGCGTCTTGTGCTGGCGGGTGCTGGCGGGCGATGCGCGATGGCGTCGTGGTGGGTTGTGTGGAGCTTGGCGGCGGCGAGGAGCGGGAATTGCACCTCAGTAAGCAGCGGGCGACGTGTGCAAGTTCTCCATGCAAGGCCTGGAGGGGATGCAGGATGCAGAGGAGTGGGGGGACAGTGAGGCCGGAGAACAGGAGGCAGTCGGGAGGCGGGTGGGTTTTGCGTGGCTGGTGTTGTTGGCGTGTCCGTGGGCGATTCGCTGCGTGTCGTGGTGGAGCGAGGGCAGGATGCGCGCGTGTCAACGGCGGGCTGGCCAGGTGGGCGCGACACGAGGTGGAGATACAACGCAGAGGGCAGAGGGAGGGCGATCGAGGGATAGAAAAGACCCTTTGTGCGCTCGTCTGCGATCGGCTGGAAATGGGGGTGGTATAATATGGGAGGAGACGCGTTCGCGCTGGCGGGCTGGTGTGGCCGCAAGGCGCGAGGCCCGTGCACGCTCGCCCACCGACGACACCCTGCAGGCCGGCCGTTAGCCTGGCATGCCAATCGCTGCACTGCGCGACACCCACCGTGAAGCTGCATCGCCGGCCACACGGTGGGGACGCACGCAATGGACAGGCTCTGCGCTGCTCATCGCTGCTCTGCGCTGCTCTGCCCTGCCCGCACCGCCGGCCTCGTTACGCGCGCGCAGTCTGGCCGTGGTGCGAGGCGCTGCAGCGGAGCCGTGGGTGGTTTCGCCACTGCCAACTGCCGTGTGCGTTTGCGTGTGCGTACTGCGTGTGCGTCGTGTCTACTCGGTGTGTGTGCGTGTGTTTACTGTTTATTGTTGATCAACAATGCCGGACCAAAACAATACTCGCCACCACCAGTCCCGTCCCCCAACCACGGCATCGGGGCACCTCCCAGCTTCCACGCCGCTAGGATCCCCCCCAATCGCGCCATGGCAGCAAATGAGGCCAATCTTAGCATCCTCATGCCCGCTAGCTGGGGCTGCGTCATGTTCAATAGGGGGCTCTCCTCGGTCAGTTCACAGTTCGCTGGCGGCCCGCTCGCTCCCGCCAACTCGCAACACGCAGCCCACACGCGCTTCGCTTGGCTCTCCGCATCGCATCATGCTTGCTAATTGCTCTCTGATTGCCTCCAGCCTGCCCCTCGACGCCTATCGCGCTATCGATAGCTTTTGCGAGTCGTGAGACAGCTGCCATGGCCCATGTCTCGCTTCCTCCTCCACCATGCCACTCTCACCTTTGCCATGCCCGTTGGCGCCACCGCTGCTTATTCCCACGACAACACAGCCTTTCCTGGTCCACCAATACTCCACCTGTCCACCAATATGCCCGCCCTGTCGCCTTCAATAATGCCCTGATATGCCTACCTCCCACCATCATCCCTGGTGAGCCTCAAAGAAAAAAAAAGGGTCTTCGTTGTGTTTCGTCTCGACATGGCGCCGACTGTTCCGCCCCGAGCATCGCCTTGTTTCGATTCTGTTCCATGGCCTTACCATGTTCTACTATTCCCTGGTGCCCAAAACCGTGGTCCTCATTGCGCGTCGGCTTTGAAATCGAGGTTCGTCTGCGTCATGTTTGCCCTGCAGCCATCGGCCACGTGCTATCCCAGATGCCCGACTCTATGTATATGACGTCGGCTTATTGCCCCCCCCCCTCATAGACACAAAGACATACCACTACGTATCCACATATACGTAGTGGTATACATGGTCTCGATGAGCAAGCCATTTGTCTGATACACGCTAGCAACAACATCATACTTGCTCATTGGTCCCAGACTGGCGGCCCGCATACTCTTCAATAGCCCACGTGCTAGATGCATTCACAGGCCCATCGACACTAAACGCGCAAAAGCGCGGCTATGACGCTCGTAGATCAAACACATGACGATGGCATCCAGAACAAACATCATGACACCATACTCTACCATCAACAGCCATGCATCAGGACAAAAAACAATCCCCCAGGCACCCGAGACTACTTCACGGGCGACCGCATCTGCGGCCGCGGTCGTGTCGTCTCCACGCGTCTGTAGCTCCAGCAAGCAAACGCAGGAACGCCCTCGTCGCGCATTGCCATCGCCGTACCTGCCTTAGCCTCGACCGTCTGCTGATCGCCGCATATCCACTCAATTATGGTCGGCATGCAGCCACCGAACCCAGCCGGTGCGCCTCACTTGAGTGCCTCACCAACAAGCAACCATGTCCTGCTGAGTAAACGGCGCACTTGATTCCTGCGACGGTTTGACATGTCAAGCACGGCCCGCAAGACGGTGCTTTTGCGACTCCTGGCTGTGCTACCCCCACTGCTTCCATCTGACGCCTGTCACGTCTCAGAGCCATCGCACCAGCCCTAGCCGCACTCACAGCGGCTATCAGTCGAGCCACAACCTAAAAATGGCATTGTCTCAGTAAACGTTGCAAACTAACACCCAAACACATTGATTCTCTCCCCGACGCTTATCGCCCACCCCGCATTGCTGTGGTAACAATATGCTAATGTGTCGTTGGGCTTCAAAAGAACTGTGAAGACATCAACTACCATGCCCCGCTCCGATAACATAGCACCTCGGGTCAGAGTCCCAATAGGGTTGACGCCCAAATGCACATGCTTTTCAAGCTGACGAGGCCACGAGATCTTTGCCAGGGCTGCTAAATGATTTACAGGGTCCAGGAATGGTCGGTCCCCAGTCGCCATACCGCCGCCAAGCCCTCGTCTTGCGCACCACACGCCCCATGCTGTCTGTCTTCGTATTCTCCATGATGCCTATGCGGGGTTTGCCCTTGGGTGTGACGGCAGCGAACATGGATCTCGAAGATCATGGCTGCTTTCAAGGGTCGGTTGAATCTGACAGCAACTTTACCTCGGGGTCCAACTGGTTCTTGGGCACTGTCTCTGGCAGATTGCGGCCCTCCCGGTGTGTCTTGCGCAATGCATTGCCCAAAGATGGCCTCCTTTACTTTTTTCTCCAATGGCAGTCGCTTTTCGTTGAAACAAATTTGATCATTTCCCACGCACTATTACATCCCGAGCCTCGCATGTCAATCTGTCATTGCCTTGGTAACTCGCACGTGTTGCATTGAATGTGATGTTTTACGAATTTGGTATTATGCAGGTTAGACCAAGCGAGAAGAATTAAGGCACGAGACATGTGAGTAATCCCGTAAAGTCTAACCATGGTTGAAGCTGCATGATTGTTTGATGCCGCCTTGGGCCGGATGGAAAAACTTTGTTCCCGACATTGCAGTCAATGGCGGGGTGAGTCAAAAAGTTTGGCGGGGCATATATCTCGACGCGCCGCCCACACGAGCAAGACGTCCCTTACGAACAATTGCAATAATGGCTGACGAACAACCTGCAACCCAGCCTCCGGCTGCCGAGACCAAGGATCTGCACACTGATCCCGTCACTGGCGAGAAGATCTCCAAGAGTGAACTCAAGCGTCGCCAGAAGCAGCGCGAAAAGGACGAAAAGAAGAAGGAGAAGGAAGCGTCTCTACCAGCCCGGCCCAAGAAGGAGAAGAAGGACGACATTGAGGAATTGAACCCAAATGTACACCCTCTGGTCTGTCATATCGATGCGACGTGCTGCTAATACATCCCAGCAATACTTTGAAATTCGATCCAAGAAGATTGCCGCCCTCACAGCCTCCCAGGACCCCAACCCTTATCCACACAAGTTCCACACCAACTACAGGATCGCCGACTATGTACGCGACTACTCACATCTCAAGAAGGGCGAGACAGAGCCCGAAAAGGAGATTCGCATGGGTCTCCGTGTCATGACCAAGCGATCGGCTTCCAGCGCACTTCACTTCTACGTTTGTATGTGTGTGATACAAGAAACTGTGTACACATCTAATTGTTTACAGGCAAGGCAGAGGGTGTTACCATCCAGGTCATGTGCCAATTGCAAGAGTCCAAGGCCGATGTGCCCTTTGAGAAGCAGCACGAGAACATTCAGCGTGGAGACATTATCGGTGTTATTGGCTTCCCTGGCCGAACAAGTCCCAAGAAGGGTGGCGAGGGTGAATTGAGTATCTTTGCGCGCGAAGTCATCCTCCTCACACCCTGCCTCAGGATGTTGCCAACAGAGCACTTGTAAGAACCGCCCATGGCCTGAGAAAAAAGAGGTATTGACCTTATGACAGTGGCTACAAGGACCAGGAGCAGCGCCACCGCAACCGATACCTCGATCTCATCATGAACGATTCGACGCGCAACACCTTCATTGCACGCACCAAGATCGTCAAGGCCGTCCGCAGGTATCTCGATGAGCGCGACTTCCTGGAAGTGCAGACGCCCATGATGAACAAGATTGCCGGAGGCGCAACAGCGCGACCCTTCAAGACATACCACAATGAACTCGACATGGAGCTGTACATGCGAATTGCCCCTGAGTTGTACCTCAAGGAGTTGGTTGTTGGAGGTCTCGAGAGGGTATACGAAATTGGTCGTCAGTTCAGAAACGAAGGTATCGATCTCACCCACAACCCTGAGTTCACCACCTGCGAATTTTATATGGCATACGCCGACTACCACGACCTCATGGACATGACCGAGGAGCTGGTCAGCGAGATGGTCAAGGAGGTCACTGGCAGCTACGAAACCGTCTACCACACCCAGAGTGGCGAAGTCTACAACGTCAACTGGGCAAGGCCATGGAGGCGAGTCAATATGATTCCTGCTCTTGAGGAGGCTACTGGTGAAAAGTTCCCACCGGCGACTGAACTTCACACTGCTGAGACAAACGAGTTCCTCAAGAAGGTGCTCAAGAAGGTCAACGTCGAGTGCTCGGAACCCCGTACCAACTCAAGAATGATTGACAAGCTGGTTGGTGAGTTCATCGAGGAGACTGCCGTGAACCCAACCTTCATCGTTGGTCACCCTGAAGTCATGTCGCCCCTTGCCAAGACTCACCGAGAGATCCCCGGTCTTTGCGAGCGTTTCGAGGCCTTTGTCTGCAAGAAGGAGATTGCGAACGCCTACACCGAGTTGAATATGTCAGAAGTCCAGCGCCAACGTTTCGTAAGTTGACAATAGTTTCCTTAGGATTGGTAAAGAAAAGGATTTGCCCTAACGAATTTACAGGCCGAACAAGCAAACCAGAAGGCAGCAGGTGACGACGAAGCACAGCTCATCGATGAGACCTTCTGCCAAGCGCTCGAGTATGGTCTACCACCCACCGGTGGATGGGGTATGGGTATCGACCGTCTAGTCATGTTCTTGACAGACCACTACTCCATTAAGGAGGTGCTTACCTTCCCATTCATGAAGGACATTGTTGAGGACAAGAAGACGGCAGCCGAGGTTGCCGATGGCACCGGCAAGCCAGTTGAGGGAATTCGTAAGTAGAGCATTGTGCGAGGTTGGTTATTGTACTAACAGTGTGCAGCACACAAATAGTTTTGCACAGCATTTCGGCGCATTGGGTGGGTAAGAAAATGACAACGACGGGGGCAATCTAAGCCTACACGATTGGGTATGAGAACATGAATGAAATTCAACAAAGACATATGATATGCGTCTGCAATTGTGACTATCTTTGAAATGTGTAGCGGATTGTTTATTACGCCCGTCTGTATGCTGCAGCCTACCTCTTATCCGATGATGCTGACTTTGTCATTGAGAACTAACCATATCGAGGGGAATTTGCTCCTGCCTATATGCCGAAAGGTAACTATAGTAATTTCGCGTCTGTCATACCGGTTTTCAAAAGGTTCGAGATGGATGCTTTCAGCCGATAGTCGGCTCCCCACCCGCGAACTAAAATCTCCAACCGCCCGAAAGAGGGGCGGCCCGCGCCTCCATGGGCCGAACGACACACGACACTCACTGCGTCGGCAAACCCCGTTGGAGTATCAGGTAAGAAGGAATTCGCAATGCCAAAACAGGCAATTGGGTATAAAGAAGTGATGGCAGTGCTGCTCTTCCTTTTTGTTTTCTCCTTCATGATAAGTTTTCTTCTACCATTGACTTTCAAGTGCTCACGTCATTTTATATTGTATGACTGAGTGTAGATACGAATTGGATAAGTGCTTCCTACCAGTGGCTCTTAGCATAATACGAAGGAAGCCCAGCAAAAGCATAGAAAGAAGATAGCTGTCTAGACTGAAAATGGCGGCACCAGGAGGCAAGTTCTTCATCCAGGATAAACTGGACATACCAGCCAAACACCATGAGTCGTTTGAACAGCTATGGGAGACGAAATGGAAGAAGCCGGTAGGTATCGCAAAACATCCTTTCAACAATCGTCTGCACACTGAGTTTATCCAAGACTGACCTGGACACAGGCTGAAATGGGCGTATACCCCTTCATGTTCGGCACCGCCTCCGACTTTGAGCCCATAGTTGCCGAAATGGTCAAGAACAACATGCGCGAGCCCTACAACTGGGACACCTACGCCCGCACATTCTTCCCCCAAGCCGAAAACCTCGCCTCCATCGCCCGCTCCGCCGAAGCAAACGGCGAGACAGAAAAGGCCTCAGAGTACTACCTCCGCTCCAGCGCTGTCTACCGCATCGCGCGCTTCCCCGCCCCACGCAGCCCCGTCCAACGCGAAGCCTGGGCCAAGGGCAAAGAAGTCTGTCTCAAAGGCCTCTCGATGCGCGAGCATCCCGTGCACGAAATCCTCATCCCCCACACGCACCGCAATGAATTCGACGGCCACGACATCCCCGTCTACCACCTCCTCCCCGCCACCGCCTCCCCTTCCTCTCCCGTGCCCCTCCTCATCATCTTCACCGGCCTAGACGGCTACCGCACCGAACTCGCCGTCTGGATGGAAGGTTTCCGTCGCAACGGCATCGCCACCCTCGTCCTCGAAATCCCAGGCACAGGCGATTGTCCCGCCGACCCATCCGATCCTACCTCCCCCGACCGCCTCTACTCCTCACTGCTCGACTGGGTATCCCAGCAGTCCAGCCTCGACGCCGCAAAGACTGCCATCTGGGCCTTTAGCACGGGCGGTTACTACGCCATCCGCGTCGCACACACGCACGCTGCACAACTCGCAGGCGTCGTCGCCCTAGGCGGAGGCTGCCACCACATGTTCGACAAAACATGGCTCGACCACGTAAACCATCTCGAGTACCCCTTCGATCTCGCCGATACGCTCGCACACAAATTCGGCTACGGCACAGACGTCCCCCGCTTCAAAGACGAAGCTAGCACCAAGTTCTCGCTCCTGAACGATGGCACGTTGGATAGGAAAGAGTGTGCGAGGTTGCTGCTCGTGAATGGGACTGAGGATGAGATTTTTCCTATTGATGATTATTATCTAGCGCTCCAGAGGGGGGAGCCCAAGGAGGTCAGGTTTGTGAGTGGGGTTAAGCATATGGGGGAGCCGGAGAGCTTTGGGGTTATTATGAGGTGGTTGTATCGGTTGTGGGGGGTTGAGGCGGATATTGGTGCGCAGATGGGGACGTTGATGTTTAAGCCCAAGTATTGAAGAGAAGGAGGGAATTCGGAATGGAGGAAACGAAAATTCAGGGCCAAATAAGCGTAGAATTGAAAGTAAGAGTGGTATGTTCCTAGACATTGTATGTTCTTTGCCCTGTCATGTGCATTACAAATTATCCTACATTTCTCATCTTCCCCTTCAGTCAATCACTCTCCTTCATTCACTTTCCTCCTCAAAAACAACAGCAGCACACGCTACGATAGGGATATAACGAAAGAGAAAAGAAACCTGGTATCATTGTTCCCACTGTGCCCTAAAAGAAAGAGAAGAAGCAGGAAAAGAAAAACGTCTACTACCTTCCCTTCCTTCATAAGTCCTGCTTTCAAAGAACGCAGAAAGTAATAACTTGAGGAAAAAAAACAAGACGAGAGAATCGAAGATAAATAAGCAAACACGTTTGCAGTTCATAGATAGCACATGATATGATAAGAGAAAAAAAAGGAGAGGAGGACCCGTGCCTTGAACGCGCGGAGTAAAGTTGCCCAACACTTCACACTTCAATCATTGAGTCCAAAAACACGTCTCAGACCCTGAAACTTCTTCTTCTTCCCACTTCGGCCATACGCGACCGAATGGCCCTGTGCATCGACCACAGGCGCAGAGACATTAGATACAGCACTGGGCTGTCGCGTGGCGAAACGCGGTCTACGAGGCGCAACACCGTCTGAGCTCATTGGCCGATCATCAGTTCCAATGGGTGGTGGAGGAGGCAGAGGCCAGTCCGGGGTTGATCGTCGTTGGAGCTTGGGCGACCGCTTAGGGGAGGTAGGGGCTGGCTCAGCGAACTCCTTATCCTCGTCAATCGGGGTCATGGGGGCGCCCTTATCGCGGTTACGTTGCGCAGGGGGCATGGGAATGTTACCGTGTGTAGAGACGGGCTGTACTGGTTCGGATTGAGCAGGGACAGGCTCGGCCTGAGGCGTCTTCTTTTTTCCTAGGCCAAAGAAACCACGCTTCTTCTTGCTCTTACCGGACTCGAATGTGGGTAAAGCGGCATGTTTGCTATCGCGGAGCGAGCCAGTGGCTAGCGCTGCACCCTGCCCATTAACATGGCCGTTGGTTCCATTCGTTTGCGGAACAGGCTTGGAAACGTCCTCGGGAACTTCCTCATCCACCTCTTCTTCTAAATCCGTAGAGTCCCCATCCTCTTCGCCAGGTTTCCTAGGAATACCTCGGACTGGAGTCAAGCCAGGAGGCAACTCGTAGTCCATCGGCTCATCGTCCGAATCTTCAAATCGACTTTGAAATAGCCTGGGCCGGTCATCTTCATCCTCATCACTCGAATCAGCGAAGCGGCTTTTGAATGGCACCTTGACCGCTTTGGGCGCCTTAGCTGGTTGAGGCGCTTGTTTGGCAGGCTTGGGCTGCTTGGTGAACGAAGGCATTGGCTTCTCCTGTATAGGCGAGGACGGACGGACATCGGGTCCCTTGCGGAACCTTCCCATTGGTGACAATGATCGGATGCTGAACCTTGATGATTTGGCTGGGTCCGGGGTCGGTGAAGAGGACCGCATGGACCTTCGCATGGCAGGCGATGGAGACTCCCGTGGTGATATGGCGCGAACCTGTCTTGGAGCTGGTGCACTGGCGCGCAGGGACGGTGTAGGGTTTTGCCTCATGGAGCCACGCATTGTGTACCGTCCACCTTGTTGACGGGATCCTCGGCTTCTAGTTCGCTGGAAGCTGCTAACAGAAGCGTCAGAGTCGCTGTCATATGTAGGCACTGGCGCAGGCTTTGGCTTCGCAGCAGGCATACTCTGTGGCCTTGCCTTGGAAGCAACTGGAGGTGGAATATTCTTCTTTTGCAGTGCGCCTCGGGGCTTGGTTTCCACCGGTGTCATGCTATGGCGAGATGCAGCTAGGCTGATATTGGCCTTTGGTAGTGTATCCTCTGACCGCATACTCTGTCGCATCTGTGGCTGTGCTCTAGGAGGGCTTTCTGGTCCTCCCCTCATGGTCGAACGCATTGTGGATCCCATTCGGGGTTCAGCTGGCGCATCTGTGTTTGAACTACCGCGCATGGTTCTTCTCATGTGCACCTCTGAACGGCTTTCCCTAGGTGCGGAAGCCTGCGTAGTCCTGTTTGAGGGCTCGGCTGGTCGAGTTGTTTCCGGAGCTGGACTCTTTTTCAAGGCCGACTTTAGAGGCTTGGTCGACTGTGATGGTGAAGCTACTGATACCGGGCGATCCTGCGAAGTCGAACGTTGCATAGGCTGATCAGTACCTTTTTGGGGAGGCGGTATTTGCTCGACAGACGTCTCAATCTTATCGGCTTGTTTGAAAGACGCATTCAAGCCACTCCAATGCAACTGAGCAGGGGTCCAGTCTTGTGTTGGAGTTGCCTGTGAGTCGTCACTATCCTCCGCAGAAGTCTGTTGCCCAGACTTCAAGGCAGGGCCTTCCGTTGTATCTTGATCCGCATACTTTGAGTGCATCAGTCCAGATGACGAAGGGTTGATCGGCTTATCCATAAGAGCATCGATACTAGCAAATCCGCCTCCGTCAGACAAATCCTCATAAGCATCGCTATATATACTGCTTTCATCGTCTGTGGTGTCTTCTTCCTGTGAGTTGGATTGTGGCACCTGACTTGTCGGCTCCGTAGTGTTCGTAGAGGGTGTCGATGTAGATATAGCTGGTTTGGGGGTTTGGCTCCTAGCACCAGTGGCATCTTCGTCCCACCCTCCAGGAATAGTTATGCTTGGGAAATTCGGTTCAGGCTTCTCAAACGGGCTAGGGGTTGCAGGTTGGAATGCAATATCGGGAACATGGGCGTTTTGTTCTGATGCTGTGATCGTCGTCGATGGTACTTCTTCATGCGGGATAGACAGAGACTTTGGCTCCAGAGCTGGTGGTTGCTGAGACATTTCCTTATGCTCTGTAACCCCGTGCTTGTCCGAGTATTCGCTAGAGTCTGACACGTAACCACTGCCTTCGACAGAAGTAACCTCAGGTGGAAGAGGATCAGATGATCCTCTCTGCTTTCGAGCATGGTCGTCGGAAACAATGCTGCCAAGCGCAATGTCGCTTGAAACCCGAGATTGATCACCGACAGGACTGACGGACACGGTCTCAGTTACCTTTTCAGGCACTTCCTCCCTGTGACGTCGCTCCTTGTCTCGGATACTACCAAAAAGAGGCAGAGCAGGTCGCGGCTTCTTGAGGTCTTCAAACTCATCGTCCTTTTCAGCTATTGGACTCCATCTGGATGCCCCAAGGCTTCCGTAATTAGGCATCTCAGGGTGAGTCGGGGCAGAGGTACTAGGGGCCACCACATCTTCCTCAAAGCTAACACGAACGTTCTTCTTCTTGCGCCTTCCTCCCTCCTCCGAGGCAGTGTCCGATGCTTCACTTGAAGCACCTCTGGTGTGTAAAAGCCCGTTGGAGCGGAGCGGAGACTCGCCACGACGCGATACTGAGGGTGACGCTTTTAGTGCAGATTTTGCAGGGGATACTGATCGGGGCAGCGGTTCGTGCTTCAGCCCAGTAAGTTCGGTAGCTAAGGGCGCGAAATGAGCGGTGCGAGGTGGGCTTAACGGTGAATTTTCATTTCGCCCGGCGCGTTCGTGGTCTTGACTATCATAAGTACTTGCGGGCCTAGAATTTACCGGGGTGGATAGTCGGGGGTAGGGGTTGTCCTGGTTCTGGGCAACAGTGGACGAAGCCGCGTCGTCATCGTACCCAACTATTGTGCCATAGCCAGAATCTTCAAGTCTGCGACTAGCGTTTGCCTTCTCAGGAGGCTGCATATTAGCATCATTAAATTCATCAGAGTGCCGTTGAACAGCTGCCCTCGGTTCCTCTCTTCGCTGAGGCGGTGGCGGTTCTTGTCGAACGTAATGACGGATAGGGCTGGGTGATCCACGACCCATTTGGTTCTCTGGTATATGAACAGAATGAAAAGTCTCTGCAGGCTGTGGTCCAGGTTGGGGCTCGGGCTCAGGCATTTCGTGTATCTCCCTATGACGGGCCATGGCGTCCTGCTTGTGGATAAAGGTGCGGGACGATGGGTCATAGACGGCATCTGGCGAGTTCGGATCAACGGGTCGTGGGGCCTGTCTCGACGGATATGTTTGCTTTTGTACAGCTGTTCCGGATGGCTTCACACGCATACTGCCGCTTGATAGCCGAGAGCCTTCGACACCATGCGAGATGCGATGTGAGCTGACCGGGCGCTCGGCTGCATTTTGTATGGATCTCTGGGTGTTCTGGACATGGTGGCTAGAGACACCGCTCGATGTCTTTGGCCGTGAGGTTGATGCCATGCGCTGAAGGGCATCTTGGTTGACAACGGGCCCACCAAACCATCCAGACGAAGCAGTAGTCTGTGGTGGGCTTGGCTTGGTGCCTACTACGCCGGGGGACATGGGACGGGAGAAGTTTATAGACCGGGCAGTGTCTTCTTCCTCTGAAACATTGGTAAGAGGGTTGGCGGGACGTTGGGGCGCTCGTCGAGGAGTACTAGCGCCCCTGTCTAAGCTCACACCTCTGCCTCCGCCTCTGGGGCCTGGCGATGCTCCGCGATAGAGGGGCTCGACACTCGATGCGCGGCGACGCATGCCACCGTCGTGATGCTGTATGTTTGCGGGCACAGGCGGGACAGGTGGCGCATTGGTTTCAGCTGGACTTCCTCTGCCTGGCGATGGTGCGCGGAACGAGCGCTCCGTCATGGACCCTGAACTCGACTGCCGATGCAGGGAACCGGACGGCTCTCTCGAGTAGCTGCCGTTGGATGAGAGCGAACCGCGTCGGGCCATGCGCTTGGTGACGGTATCTGCTACGGACGTCGGTGTTGGCGAGTGAGTACGCAGGGCTGCTGCGGCGGCGGCGGACGAGAGGGCGCCATTGGATTCGGCGCTCTTGATGAAGGCTTTGGAGGCGGCGAGCGAGGCGGAGGCGCTGGGAGGAGGCGCTCGCTGGGCCTGCACGGGGAAGAGCATGTGTTAGCAGGCACCGCGTCGCCATATTACATGGCCGTGTTTGCGCGACACGACATGTGCGCGCGCGCATCCACAGCCAGAAAAAAAGACACAACCTACCGGACTCGAGGCTGCTCTTCGTCGCTTGCCAAACATGGTGGGCGGGCTGGATTAGGAATTACAGCAGTCGTGGGCGGATCTGCATTATCTCGGCGTCTATGGGCGTGGTGTAGTCTCGGTCTGGGGCCGAAGTTGAGGTGCAGCAGCAGGGACCGCTTAGATGATGTCACGTCTAGTGGTAGACACGGAACCCGGCGGCACTGGATCAAGGAGCGTGCAAGGCCAATTGCATCAAGCCTACAGGAAAACAAAAAGAAAGGAAAACTAAGAGAAGGACAGCGCAGACGTGGCGGGCGGCAGGGCGAGGAGTGAGATGGATGGATGGGTTGCGGACCGACGAGGGTAGGAAGAAGACGCCGTCTATTTGGCTCGAGTGGAGTCGTCCATGAGAGCAAAACAGGCAAGAGGATCGCCTTATGGTACGCCGTCGAGGACAAGGGTGGAAGCTTGGACGGGGTGTCGTCACGGAGCAATAATATCCATACACCTGTTCGTCACATCGCGCAGCCCAGGCCACCGCACAACACGACGCCGACTCGCTCAGTCTAGATGTCTGCTCCAGCCACAGACGTCACGCCCGTAGGCCGGCCCAGGGCCAGCCGGTCCCTGATTTGCACTAACGGCCCATCGACACAGCAACACCAGGCCAGAGACCCACTTGGGCCACGATAGACCTTTTACTAGTCGCCTACTGGAAACATGGCAAGGGGCGTAGAAGGGGTCGTGTCGAGGATACTGCCATGTTGTCAAAACATTGTGTGTAAGCACCACTCATCCAGCTAACCCACAGGGCTGAACAGGGGTCAGCCCTCCGCTTTGCCGCCTCAGGCCCTGAACGCATGAACTGGAGAAGCATCTCAATTAAAAAGAGAAAAAGACAAGGACCGAATAAAATACAACCCTTGAAGGGGTTTGCCTTTTGTGAAACAATCCCATGCATCGAAGACTATGTTGGCCTAGGGTGATTTACTTGGAGAAAATGTTATATTTGGATTTTACTACTCGATAAAACAACACTGTTTCGCTGTGCTGCGATCAACCGGCTTGGGATCAAACCTGTTAGTCGGCAGTAATACAATACCAGTTTTTGTTGTTCCTCCGGTATCTTGGATTGGTGAACCATGGTTTCATCTATTGATACAGTGTTCTTTCTTGCAAAACAGTTAGGCAGCCACTTCCCATCTACTACAAGTTTCCACGCATGGAGGACAAGCAGGTTCTCTTCTAAAGTTTCCAAGTATGTGCTTTATAAATCTACTACAAGACATGTTGAGTTGGTGCGGAAACATTCTAAGCACCCCTCCCGCCGCCAGAGCCAACCACATCGAAGTCGGTAGGGGACAGTGTGGAACGGTGCTTGCATTGAACGACACCGATTCCGTCGTAAAGATACCCAACTCTCCTGCCAAAGAAGATGAGCTTTTTACCGACTACCAGATCCATTACTCAGTATACAGCACTCTGGCCCCTCTCAGCTCCGTAAACATATCGGTCCCTCGGCCTGAAGCATGGATCACGCGCGGGAGTACAATCTGGTTTTCAACAGCTTCCTGCTTCCCTAAAGGAATCCCGTCTATCCCAAACTACGGTCTCATCTCGAAGCGCATCCTGTCTGTGCGTCTCTGCTTCCGCGAAGACATCGTAGACCTACTATGCCCCAAAGCAATCAAAACAATCAAAACCAAATTTCTCGCGAGACATGAGAACAATGATTGCCTAGTAAGACTCTATCTAGGCCGGCGCAGTTGCACGTCGCATAGGGAAGCCGGATGTTTCCAGCTTCGTAACTTTCCACTTCACGTCAACGAGATGAAACGACTCGGGTTACGTCCAGAACGCTACGCTGTCACCATGGCACAGACTCTAGCTTTCCTCCACTGGAAAGTTGGCATCGATGCAAACGATGTAGAATTCGTCCTTGGAGGCGGCCATCTTGTCAGTAGTAGTTATCCAAGCGAACAGGAAGTCCGTGCAGCTACAAAGGATACAGCAGGGAGATTGCATATGACCAATCTCAGAAATGAACAGACATCGATGTGGCTACTGGATTTTAATCAGTGCCAGCGTTTTGAGTATCATGCGGATGACGAGGCAGGGTGCAAGGAGGTAATGAAGAAACTGGTCGAGGGCTTCTGGTTCAATGATCCATATTACCCGCGTCCCACTGCCACCGACGAGGGAGACAAGAAACTTTGGGGTGTATTTGTAGAGCATTATCTCAAAACGAATGCGGAGCATGTTTCTCATCAAGGACCAAGGGAATTCATCGAGGCTGTAGTAGAGAAGGGTAAACAACGGTCGGAAAGTTCTTTGTTTAGTTCATAAAAGGGCAAGCTCTTTCCTGAAAAGGTTACGCCCTACCAAGTTGGGAACTACGACAGGTGAAACCAGGTGTAGATAGATCGAGTCTATGGTTGCATCAAAAGCAACCTTTGACCTCTGTAAGATTAGTTCTTGTTGTAGGGGAGAATTGATAGGCATGTAAATTTAGTATGTGTCAGCATCGTACTACTTCCTTACGTACTACCTACCGCAAGTGGGCCACTACTAGTATTACGCAGCTTGGCAGCTCCCTCTCACGTCTTCCCCGCATCGTAGACTCACTCTTAGCTCTACACTGTCATCTCGAGTCGTACGTTTTTGTGTTTGAAAATCACCTACAACAATCACCCATTATTTATCGCTTCATCCGTACTTTTGATCCACTCTCACGTGACAAGCCATCAACATGTCAGCTTCGCAGCTGCCGCCTCTGCCACTTCCAGACGGCATAACCGAAAACTATGTTCACTGCCCATCCAACGGAATCACCTTTCACATGATCGAAGCTGGCTATACGCCAAGGCAACATAAGCCTCTCATCGTTCTCTGCCACGGTTTTCCTGAACTCGCCTTCTCCTGGAGAAAGGTAATGGTGCCTGTAGCAGACGCCGGCTACCATGTCGTTGCATTCGACCAGCGAGGCTACGGAAGGACCACTGGTTGGGACAATTCATCATTCATCAATACCAATTTGTCGCAATTTGCTATGACTAATGTCGTCCGCGACGTCGTTACCCTGGTCAACGCCTTGGGTCATCGCGAAGTCAAGTGCATCGTCGGCCATGACTTTGGAGCTGTGACTGCTAGCATGTGCGCTTTGATGCGCCCGGACTTTTTCAAGAGCGTTGTAATGATGAGCCACCCATTCAAGGCTCCTGCGCCCCTTCCGTTTAACACAGCTCGAGCTGAGCGACAAATGGACGCCTCTGCACCGCCACTTGATGTCCATGCTGAGCTGGCAAGCCTAGCTGAGCCAAGAAAACACTACAAGTGGTACAACAGTACTAGTGTAGCAGCGCAAGACTGGGCTAACCCTACCCAAGGTTTGCATGAGTTTCTAAGAGGATACATTCATGTCAAATCAGCCGACTGGAAACAGAATGAGCCCCACCCCTTGGAGAGCTGGACGGCCCAAGAGCTGGCAAGATTACCTTTCTACTACATTATGCCGCTACGCCTATCCATGCCTGAAACCATTGCTAACATGATGGCTGGCCAGGACACGTCGGCGACCAAGTCATGGATGCCCGACCAGGACCTTGCAGTTTACGTGGAAGAATGGTCTCGAACAGGTTTCCAGGGTGGCCTCAACTACTATCGCATAACCACTGATCCGGATCGTATGAAGGATTTAGAGCTTTTTGCAGGCAAGAAGATCGAGTGCCCAAGCACCTTCATCTCAGGCGCAAACGACTGGGGGAACTATCAGCAACCCGGGGCCATTGAGTCTTATCCGCATTCTTGTTCCGACTTCCGAGGAAATCATTTCATCAAAGGCGCAGGTCACTGGCCGCAGCAAGAGCAGCCAGAGAAAGTTGTGCAAGAATTACTGGCGTTTCTCAACGGTCTCTGATGTTGCTGCACGTGCTGTCTGTCCGATTTCCGTTAAAGGTCACATTCACATGCAGCGCTCTAGCTACACATTGTACGTCGACTATGTCAGCCGCATGCACAGACCAAAAACCTCTTTTGGAACAAGCTAGCGCAATGACTCTGAGGCTGTTTTGTTACACAGCCCTCACTTGACAAGCCTCGTCGTTGCATGGCCGCCACTTCGTGCTCAGGTCTGAGATACCAGATCTAAAGTCTTGGCAACGGCCTCCGATATTCACTTACCACTCACCAAATCTGCTAAGCCACTGAGGTCAATGGCGTCCGTGCTCCAGTGCATTCGCCTAAAGCGACGAATACGGTATTATGCTTGTCCAGACTACATGATAGCTACTATACTCTGCATTGCATGTTATCTATGCGTCTGACACGAGAGTCTATTTCAGTTGGGTTATTGGCCCCAGGGGCAAGATAATAATAACAAATGCAGCCAATCGACCAATTGCAATGCGAGGCTTCCAGGAGTGCTGCACTGTGGTATCCTGTTAAGGAATTCATCTAAAAAAGTGAGATTAATGCAGAATGCGCGCCTACAGCTTCACACCGAGGACTGAATATACGCTAGCCTGACTCTCGATCCCCAATGAAGCTCATGGTAGTGCTGACCTAACCATACGCTGAGCGTGTATCATCACTGAGAGGCTGAACGACCAAGCCACTGAGACATCTTTAGTAGACCCGATTACGGGCTGCAGGAGCATTGTGTATGAACAAATTTAGAGCATCAACACCGGTGCTCTCTCCAATAGGGGAATATGCACACAGGGCTGGACAACGATATAAAATCGTCATGGAATCATTGATAGTAAACAGCACTTCCAACCATTTCATCAACAACCAAAAGTCTTCTTTCACTCTGAGCCTATCTCCTTACCGCTCTTTTAGTCTTTCACTGTCACGATGGCAACGCCACCTCAAGCATCCAATGGTTGCCGATGCAGACCGCCCTTAACCTCTCCTAGCCTACATATTCCTTCTGACTCTTCCGGAACCCGCCGGTCTCAACATATGGAATCACGCAATTCGTCCGTAGAGTCACTTGAACATTCTCCACCGAATGTTCCCGAGGAGGAGCATGTTGATTCGAATGAAGGCGTTGTCCAGATCCACCAGCGTTCAGATCCACTTGATACCTCTGACAATACTCGAGCGTCATCAATCAACTCATCGCAGGAGAGCCTCAAATCCACATCAATGCAGGTCTATGCCTCAATGAGCGAGAAAAACGCCGGCACCAAGTCAGGTAACGCTGTGAAAACACACAGTGTTTCCGCGGTCCCATTGCCAAACACAAGATGGACGCACAGGCAATGGATCAAATTCTTGAGCCTCCACTGGCTCTCGGCTTACCGCGTACTCATCGGGCTGACCTTTATCATAAATATTGTTGTATTCGCTGTTTTATACAAGCGCCTCTCTCTCGCCGCACCTCTTATCGCTACCGCCGCCAACATCTTCGCCGCCGTATTTGTTCGCCAAGAAGACCTTATTAACTTGACCTTTGCCTTTGTGGCAAAGATGCCCTCAAACCTACCATTCTGGTTTGCGAGGACGATTTCAGACCTTCATCATTATGGCGGATTTCATATCGGCTGTGCAATCTCAGCGCTCTTCTGGTACACATACTTTGTATATCGCAACACTGTATTCTTCCTCGGAAACTCAGACGCAGGAACTGCAACGGCGTCCATGTGGGTCGACATTATCGCTTGTTACTCATTCCTGTTTTCCATCTTTCTCGTGTGCGTTACGGCTCATCCACGGCTCCGCGTCAAATTCCACAACACTTTCGAACATACGCACCGCTTTGGCGGTTGGACAGCGCTCATCGTCCTTTGGATCCACGCCGGCGTATCCAGCAAAAGCCCAGAGAATCCAGACATGCACGCCAACCCCGCCGTATGGCTCTTAGCCGCCACAACCTCTATCATCATCCTCCCCTGGACACGCATGCGCCGAGTACCCATCACTACCGAACTCGTCTCGAGCCGCGAAGTCAAGCTCAGCTTCCCCTTCAAGTACATGCCTTACACATCCACCATGCGCTTCTCGCGGAGTCCCCTCATGGAATGGCACGCCTTCGCCACGATCCCCAATCCCGACGGCGAATCCGCCTACATAGTGATTTCGCAAGCCGGTGACTGGACAAAAGCCATAATCCAAAACCCGCCAACCCACATCTGGATCCGCAAGCCAGCCGCCATGAACTTCCTCGCCTTCTCCCCGCTCTTCAACTCCCTCTTGCTCGTCGCCACAGGCGCAGGCATCGGCCCCATGCTCTCCCTCCTACGCAGCCCCGCCATTGCCAACATGAAGAAGCAAGGACGTACGATCAAGGTCATGTGGTGCGTCTACCAGCCTGATGCACCCCATTGGCAATTCGTACAGGATATCATCCGCAATGTGGATCCTGAGCCGAGGATTTTCGATTCGAAACAGGGAAGACCGGATGTTGCGGGCGAGACTACGTATTTGATGCAGGAAGCGCAGATTGAAGCTGTTATGGTGGTTAGCAATCCAAAGGTTACAAGAGAGGTTGTTGAAGGGGTTAAAGCTTGGGGTGGTGCGGCGTATGGTGCTGTGTTTGATTCTTAAACTGGTTGCTTTGAAGGATTTCTGTATGTGTGTGTTGGTGATGGGTGGCATGTATCTTGGAGTTTTTTTCTTCTTTTTTTCTTACGAGTTGTTATCGGATTTTTTTTCTCATGTTTCTTAGGGGACGAAGAAGGGGGGAACATTGTTGAGGAGATGTCGATGCTTTGTATACACCATACTTGGGTGGGGAGAGGATCTTTTTGACTAGACTTTGGAGGATATGTATTCGACATCTTCTACTACTACTACAAAAAAAAGCGATATATAGGAAAATCAGGAGTGGTATATTTGGGGTTTTAGGTCGGAGAGAGGAGGATTTATACAGGGATATAGGCGGTGTACTGGAGTTTCTTATCATCTACTTCTTTCATTACATTATCGGGAAAAAAAATATATTTTTCTTCTTCTTCTTCTTCTTCTTCTTCTTCTTCTTCTTCTCCTTCCAGACTTGCTCTCCTTTTGCAACATATGTGATTCAAATAGAGTATTAAACAACGACAGCAACGACCGCTCCACCCACCACAGCCAAAATCCCTCCACCAAGTACGCCTACGCTGTGACGCACGGCTGCACCAGTAAATTGCGCTGGACTCCCGCTCGAACTCATACTAGGCGTCATCATCGCGCCTCCGCCCGCCGTCATCGTCATTGTTTTATCGCCGTCCATGCTGATGATCATGGGCTTTGTTTCGTTGCCGGCTGCACAGGAAGGTACGGGTACGTTCGAGCGGGTTACGATAACGTCGGAGGGCATGGCGCTGGGGCAGGCGGGGTGGATGGTTAGGGTTGAGAGAGGGGCGCTGTGGCTGGGTGTTAGTTGGATGGATAGATGGGAGGATGGGAGGAGGGACTGACTCCGATGTTGCTGTTACTGTGGCGAGGAAGAGGGGGAGGGGGTTGAGGAGGGGGGTTGAGAGTCTCATGGTTGTCTGTGTGTTGTGATGTTTAGATTTCTTGGAGGTTCGGGGATGGAGAAGGGGGAGGGAGGGAGGGAAGTAAGGTAGATGATAATGTATCTTGTCTTTATTGCTTCAAGTAGACAATTAGACGATTATTCAGTTAAACCAAGTCGTCCAAAGCATTCTTTCTACTTTCGCTCTCAGAGTCTTTAAACTTAACTCCCTTGCTTTCCACACTACACCCTCACTTACTTTCTTCTCGCCTCGGCTTTCTCTACTTCCACGCCGCCGCCACCGCCACCACCACCACCACTACTATCCTTCTGCTTCCCTCGAAAACTTGATTAGTCTGTATACCCAAACCCCCAGCCCGCCCTTCTGCAAGTTACACCCAACTACCGACTACCGGATCAAACGTCTTCCACTCGGGAAACAGCGCTGCCGAAAGACTAAGCAGGTACGGTTTAGGTATCGATCGTAGTATCTGGACTCGCGGTTTCAGACATACACGGCTAGAGCGAATGTGTATGTCGATCTACTAGTGTAAATTGGGCTCTGAGATTTTTCGGAGGGAGGGTATCCCGGGGCAAGGGCGAACGACGCCTTTGCGGTGGATGAGTCGGGGGCGGGAACATGGATGAGTTAGTTTACTAGGTTGGCAGTTGTAAATATTTTTTTTGATTGGAGCGGGAGATTTCTATCTGGCGATCACTTTTCTGGTGCTAGGTGCAAAAGAGTGCGGCCGCGGCAAGTGTGGGGATAGTAGTGCGGGTTCTGGAATTCGGCCGCTCGAACGCTTGTGCGGTTGGGTGTTGTTTTGAGATGCGCGTAGCTTCAGGGACGAACGAGATATTGTGAAGAATATACCTTGGCTAAGTTTTATTGGTGGGATTTGGACGTGCTAGTTCACAGTGTACACCTCGAGTATTATGTGCAACAGCATTGGTGGGTTTGTGAGAATTCGTAGTCTTGCAGTACTACAACGGTTGTCTTGCCGTCTTCCCCAACGGGCAACCAAAAATGCAATGAATAAAGTAAAAAGCCACACTCGTCATACATCTCACTGTCCATGACCCGCGACATCCCCATCCGGATACATACAAATTTTCTTCTCTTTCTACCAAAGAAAACCCCGCATCCACCATCGTTCCGCGGATTTACCTCCTGCAATGCACATACGGGCTCGATGTCCCGCGCCCCACGATGTCTTGACAAACAAATCCAGGTTAAACAAAATAAGCCTCGATCTTCCCCCTTCCTAGGGGGGTCCAGTCTCTTCTAATTGGCCAAATCACACCAAGTCGATCGTAGTCCGCCCTGTAGCGCTTTAGCGCACTTTTGTTTCGTTCGGAAGGTCAGCATTCCGTCAATGTGGGGACAAGACTACCACAACAACACCAAAGAAATCGAGCCCAACCCGCAAATGGTGCGGAGTATGGCTTGGTTTCTGCACGCTTATTACACGTCAGTACCGTTTTGGTCTTACAGCCCCCCTGATTAGGAAATTGGAGTTGCTGAGCGTTTCCTGATCGGAACGGTTGCGCCTGGGTGGTTGCGGTATAGAATTTTAAACGTAGGCTAGGATTTGGGGGGAGGGGGCGTCGGATGAGGATCACTCCGTTCGGGCGATTATGTTGTACAATCGACGATGATGACAATGACGGTTGGAGAGGAGTAACAGCGGGACTAGTAGAGTTGGAAGAATGAAAGGGAGGACAGGTATAAAGAGACACTGTAGTCGTGAGAGAGAAAAGAAGGCATCAAGTTCATCATCACTACCACTTGAACACTATCCACAGACTTTGTTACTTTACCAAGTCTCTTAATACCCAATCTTCCAAAAAAAATGAAGTCCACACTCCTCTCCACCACCCTCCTGGCAGCCCTCACCTCCGCCTCGCCCATCTCCCGGCGCGCAGACGGCCCCTCAGACGGCGAAATCCTCAACTACGCCCTCACCCTCGAACACCTCGAAGCGACCTTCTACTCTGAAGCCCTCGCCAAGTACACCGCCGCCGACTTCACCTCTGCAAACTTCACACAGGAAACCTACGAGCGCGTCAAAACAATCGCCGCAGACGAAGCCGCACACGTCTCTTTCCTAACCGCTGGTCTCAAAGCCGCAGGCGCTACACCCGTTGAAGCGTGTACTTACGACTTTGGCTACACCGACATCCCCTCCTTCCTCGCCACCGCCTCCGTGCTCGAAGGCGTAGGCGTAAGCGCCTACCTCGGCGCCGCCGCCGACATAATGTCCAAAACCTATCTCACAGCCGCAGGTTCCATCCTCACCGTTGAAGCCCGGCACGCAGCGTACATCCGGAACAGTATTGCTGAAGCGCCGTTTCCCGTGCCCTTTGATAACCCGCTGGGTTACAACGAGGTGTACACGCTTGCGGCGCAGTTTATCAAGGCGTGTCCCGAGGGTAATCCCAAGTTGCCCGTCAAGGCGTTTCCGGTGCTGAGTGCGGCGCCGGCTGAGAAGGGGAAGATGGGGGTGTACAGCGGAGATAAGATTGTGGCTTCTACGCCCAAGTATACGATTGAAGGAAAGGTTTATGCGGCGTTTATTACGGTTACGGGACCGGTGTTTGTGGATGTGGAGGTTGTAGAGGGAGGATTTGAGGTCATGGTGCCAAAGGAGGGTGTGACGGGTCAGAGTTATTTGGTGCTTACGAGTTGTAATACTGCGGCTACGGATGATACAATTGTCGCTGGTCCAGCGATTGTGGAGGTTATGGCTGCGATGATGTAAAGGGTTTGTCTGTTTTGTCTTTTCCTTACCGCTTCTGAGCTTCACTGGCTGTCTCTTTTTTTACATGCACAGAGAGAGAGAGAGCAAGTATCGTAACAAAGTAACGTCATCACCATCATAATTAATAATTTATTCTTATCAAAGAATCGAGAATTGTTAATGTAGTTTCCATCTTGCTTATCTACACGTGTCTCCCTCCCTTCCTTCCTTTTTTCCCCTTCCCAATCCTAAAACAACCAAGAAAACGATGTTGCAGATACACATCCACATCCACACATACATACTACAGCCCTGCGTCAAGCCCCTGCAGCGCCCCCAAAAAAAAACAAGGGGAGGGAGAGCACCTTGCATATTACGCGCGTTTCCCCGACCCGTCGTGTGTTTACCGAACATGCAGGATACACACAGTTTGATGATCACGACAGGCACCCTGCAGAGAGAAGTCAATTGGGAACCAAAAAAAAGAAAAAGAAAAAGAAAAGAGAAGCCAGGGTGGGGGGGCATGTTTGGTGGGTACCGTGGGGGGAACTTTGCGACATGGGATGTAGGAGTGGGGAGGGTCTTTTTTTTTTTTGCTAAATATAGGTTTTTTGGTGGTTGATAGGTTATGTGCAGAAAGTGAGTTTATGTGTGGGAGTGTGGGAGTGAAAGCGAGAAAAGGAAAAATGTTGGAGATGGGAGAGAGATGTTGGATGTGGATGAATAGGGTGAGAACGTTCACAGTGACTGATACTATAGGGAGAAGAAGATCTTCCAAAATCATTGACATTTCTCATTATTCTATGTCGGCCCAACAGTTCTATCAAATTGTAAAACGTGCAACGAATACACTCTCAACTCAGCGCAGTGTAAAACCAACTTGGCTTCGATTAAAATGTTTCCAGCCAGCCGGAATAAATTCTTTCATCCCATGTGATGTCGTATGTGCGTATATATACAAGCCAGACTTTATGTTCCTCTCTTCCTCCCATAACCCCCCCCCCTGTTCCCCGACCCACACCCATTCCTCCAATCTCCGATACATTATTCCATGTAACAAAAGGAAACCGGCTCAGCCAACCCCACCGAACAACTAGAGGGTATTCCCCCAACATGTCCGCCCAGATAAGGTCGTGGGCATGAGAGCAAGCAAATCAAGCCACCCCAACCGACCAAGATATCGCGGATCGGTAATGGAAAAAAAGGAAAAAAGACAACAAAACCAGATAAGCACTCGGGTGCTCCCGGTTCCAAATATACAAGACCCTCTTTTGTTGGGCAAGGAGATGGATGATGCCGCGCCTTGGGAAGGAAAGTGAAAAAAACCCGTCCTCCACTACAAATGGATGATGCCAGAAATCACAAAG